GTTGGTGAGTATAAAGATTCTTCTCTTGCTGGGCCACGCGCTCTCCATTCTGCCAGTCGATCTATTAAATCTTGGAGGTACGTCGTTTGACGCGCTGATTTTATAAATCGATGGCGAAGAAGCTCTTCTGCTGTTGGGCGCTAGAAAAAGTTTCAAATAATGGAGATTTAACATGTGTTGGCAAATGCAGAGGAACTTTAACATCAACAAAATGATATGAAATAGTCTTAAACATACATTCTCTGGCTTTTTCGTTAAACATAAAGAAACAAAATCTTTGAACGCGGCTGAAAATGGGCCGTCTAATACGGGCGGTTTAGCTTTAGGAATAAGGAAGAGAACTCGCATTGGGTGATATTCTGCCAGCGGTGGTTCTCCCTTTGCTAGCTCTATCGCTGTTATGCCAAGAGACCAAATGTCTGCCTAAAAAGAAAAGAACATGAAAATAAAAGCTAATTAACAAGTCGAACATGTGTGGGTGTTCGTGTATTCATTATTTTTTTGTTTTTCTTGCCTTGTAGTTGTATCCCGCTTGCCGAATGACTTCTGGTGCCATCCAGAACTACAAGAATAACAAGCATAAAGATAAATATTAAAAATCGTTGTTTATCGCGGACGCAACATATTTGCTGAAAACTCACGGGAGTTCCGACAAAGGTATTACGTTTGCTCTTATTGTTTGATAGTTGAGCAGCGACACCGAAATCCGCTTATATGGACAAATGCGTATTAATATCAAGTCTCTAGGCAAACAAACGCGGACATGCAAATAGACAGGGTTATGACAGACCACATACCGAGTTTGACTTTTCCTTCAGCCGAGAGCAGAATATTTGCGGCTGCACAACAATTGTAAATTTACTTTAACAACATTATCGACCGTTGATTTCATCACATCATTTATTACTTTGGTTCAACATACCTTTGATATCTCTGTGGATTTTCCCCCCGCGGTGTAAATAGTCGAGTCCAAGCAACAACTCTCTACATACTATAGCAATCTGCTGTTCGTCAAACGCTCCTGGCTTTAGTAGATCCAGACACGATCCACCTGCTAGGTATTCCATTACAATCCATAATTTAAACCCCTTAACAAATGATCCATAATATCGAGTGATATACGGGCTGTCACATTGGGAGAGGAGGGCTATTTCTTGTTGAATCTCTGATATATCATCGTCAGAGTCTTCGAGATCAATTTGCTTTACTGCAACGATCCTTTTCGTTTCATTATTGATGCTGTGTGTGTGGAGAGAGAAAGAAGAGCATGAGGGCCGATGATCCACCATGAAACGGAAAGGTACGGATGTCACACCACTTACGCTTTGTATACGGTTCCAAATGACCCAGTTCCGAGTTTCTCGAGTAATGTATATGTATCCTCAGGGTCATTCCGTGTCTATGGAGGGAAAAAGAGCAATTAATAATTAACGACATGATTCTACATTGGCCCGGCTAAATAAAAGTTCTAGCCATCGATTCACGTTCCACATATCAGCGAAATTTGTAATAGCAGCGTCTCAAATCATTACCATTATGTTTACGATATTAAGGGTTACGCTTCGTTATGGGTTACTATCGTGGAGACAAACAAGCAAAGCTGAACGGAGTGTTGGAGAGGAGAGGCTAGCGAAATATAACAATTGTTATAGTAGCCGACGTTAATCCGTTGTTCCACCCAGTGTCGTTGGGTATTTAGCTTGTTTATCTATTTATCGTGTTCTATTTGTTCACAAGATTAAGTTTGGTTAATGACAAACAAGAAAGTTTACTAATTATGCCTCAAAAGGATGTAAATGTTTGCGAGCTAAAATAGAGAATTCTCTCATTGAATGTTTATGATAATTTATCTCCTTATTTGTTCTCATGTTCGACTATTAGACCGCTCCATTAAATTAAGATGCCAGATACGATCGAGCGAACGTATTAATACTAACCCAACGATATAACCCAAGCGTAAAAGTCGAGTTTGGAGGACGTTAATTCAGAAAGCAAAGTCTCTCATATGGTCTCAAGTTTACGCACTAATTTATTTGTTCTCATATACACTTTTTCCCCGTTGCACCTGTGTTATAATAACTACACATTTTAAAGTAAAAGTGCATAAAACAAAAATAGACGGTACAGCAACATCCATATATGGACTTTGTGGATCAGGGGGCAAGGAAAGATGAGGTAGGGGGAAGGCTGGGAAGGAAAAGGGCAAACGGAAGCCATGACAACATGAAAGTGTCACGCATTACGTATTTATGCCACAATACATAGAAGATACTATATTAAGTCGCGATACAAAAGCGGAAGCATAACCGAAGCATCAGTTCACCCCTATTCTCTCGTATCTGGAACACTTTGATGGGTAAATTCCGGGCAGTGAGAATTAATGATGCGTGTATCACGTTATCATCTGTCAGGGGAAGAGGGGGGGGGGTTTTTTGCAAACTCCACTTTCATTTTCTATTTCTATTTCCAGTTGTGTAATTTTTAATTATAGCAGTCCAAATATTCATTAGAACGCATTTAGTGTCTTGTAATCAAAAGATTGCGATTTTAAATTACAAGCATTTGTAGCCGTATAAACTGGTGGTTCTCTCCGCTTGGAATGAGCACAGTTTAAACTTTTTATTTGTTTGTAAACAATCCAAATATGGACATGTTACAACAAAACCTGACAACGTGAACAATAATGGCAGAATGATTAGGGTTCAAACCTGCAGAATCATGTCCTTGTTCTCTTTGCCCTTTTCCTGCTATTGCGTTAGCTATATGAAAAACGTCGAGTTATTTTGGGTTAAGTCGGTCTCTGTATTTGTAATAGTTCATATAACTATGGTAAATACAAGTTCACCCAATTTGCATCTCTGGTAGTTTAAACGCGTTCTGCAACTAAAGGGCAGTATGGAAACGTTAACCAGCGGCTGTTGACTTTTCTGTGCTCCCCATGAAAATCGCCATGTTCTTGAACCCATGCAATGCTTTAAACAGATCTTGTCAACTATCTCATTAATACAATCTCAGGTTTTCGGATTTACTGCTTTTTGTTAGAAATATTGAGTTGCGAGCCCCCTATTCAAAAGTAAGACATTTACTTGGCAGGATGGTCTTTTTGGTGGTTAGAGGCCTCGAGAAAAAGATCAAATTTAATTGAATGCAGCCGTTAGCATCTATCAAATACAAAAAGATTTGATTTAACCACTAATACAGAACGTTGTGTTCGTATGGGACGTTGTTTATTTGCGTATTTTACCTCGCTGGAATTGTAGTATTCCATCGGTCAAATACGTATCGGAATTGTTGAAAGTCATGCAACCAAAAAGAGTATTATGTCAGAATCCTTTGCGTAATAAATATTATTATTGCAACTCAGTTGTTTATTTTGTTTACAGGTCATAAATATTATAATAATTTCGTGGCGGTATTCTTCTTACTCTGCTGCGTTAATGATTGCTCACAATAATTTCTGGATTAGGTACCATTACATAAAAGCAATTGTTTCGCCTTGATTATGATTACTCTTTTAAACCATAATACAAACATGTGCCCTAAAATATTATTGACGTCGATATTACTAAGAAAATACTGGAACAAAATCTAATTCAAAACCTTGTCGTTATGTCTGTTGGCGTCTTGCAGATATCTTAAAAAACATCAGAGCAATCGATTATATCTTTCTGACTCGGACATCATTACAATTAATTGTTGGTGATCTCGAAGATGAAGATTTTGTCAAAGTCATTCAAGAATGTAAAGAATTAATAGAAGAAGCCCTTTGATCGAAGATCGCGTATAGGTTACACCCAGTAATTGCTACGCAGTTATACGGTTATAGGTCTTTACTAGCTTGTAGATTAATTTCTTTTCTTACTCCCGATGACATAACCTTATTCAATGATTTCTACAAACAGTTAGTAAGTTTAGTAAGTTCTGATGACGTTTTATCTGAAACGAAATTCGCGTCTATCTTCACATGGGTTTAACGTAATTTGAATAAGACAAGATTAAGATGGATGTTTTTACTCAAACACTAAAGTGATCTACAAAAAAAATTACGTAACCGCTGTTCGCAATATCATAATGTCATTCATATGAAATTATACGTCTTTGCTTATTATTCACGTGAAGATGCGTATAGTTAATCAAACAATAATACCGGGTATATACTTAAAACATCTTGATTGACTTGATATGTACACGGGGAGTACTATGTAAGGTGAAGGATATTGTGCTAAGGATTTTAAGAAACAAGATATCATTGGTTCTTAAACTCTCACTCATTAGATTTAGATACCGCCATGGCACCGCGTGGAAACAAGCACGGTATTTTTGTAAAACGAGACGAATCAGAAAATGGTTTAACGATCACCTGAGCACATCATCTAACTAAATCGTCACAATAGACGAAGAGGCTGGAGAGCATTCTTCACGAACGACGACGCTGGAAATAATTCACTTGCTGACAACCATCGACGAGCCTTCTGTTACCAAAGAAAAAACTTGCTCCTTCGACAAGAGTTAAAATTTCTTGCTCAGCAGTTACTTTTGCATAAGTCACTTTGTCCGACGTGCTGAATAGCTGGTCCTCCCGAAGCATTTAACAATTTAAAATTGTAAAACAATAGCATCGGCTGTAGTAACTTGTTGCTATTGACCATTGACTATAGAAACATCTGGCTTTATTTTTACGAAAAAGTATATCTCGTTAAAATGTCAATTCAAGATTGATGTGTGTTGGTAATATGTAACATTTGTAAGTTTAATTACGATTGAAACGTTGAGTATTAAAAGTATCCTAGTCATGTATTCATGGACTATGGTAATTACGATAACGTGAAATCATTAAACTGTGTCATGTTTTATCTCATTTTGTTAAAAGCATTAGATAGACTAAATTACTGAATGTGTAAGCAACCTGTCAAATAACTAAAGTTGAATGACTTAATGAATTCCAATTCCGACTTTTAAATATTTATAATTTCAGTAACTTGCAAAACATAAAACTTATGCCAATTATTAATTTGCAAACCATCTAATTATTACAAGTCAACAGTAACATAAAGAATTTTTATAACATTTATTATTATTCATAAGAATAGTTGCAGAACAAAATGGTATAGAAAGTTTTAAAATTAGAATCAATCAATTGTTAGTATCAGATAAAATACAGTACAAAGTAAATTTTATTTTAACAAAGGCCTATTATTATTATTATTATTACAATTATAAAGCCACTTACTTAGACAAATTTAATTGTATAACGAAGTTACTATACCATTAACTAATCAGAATATCCAATCTCAATATTTTAACTTATTATTAATAGCTTCTATGTTATTTTTATTCTTCTTATTAAATACTGTAAACGCATTCTTTTGTTTGGTTTATGTTGTTTCTTCTATATACGCTAACTTACATCAAGTAATATCGAAGATGCTGAAATTAACTTTCAAAACGTCATTAATTAAACTCACGCGTTATGAGAGCTATGTAACAACTATTCCGTGGGGCGAGAAAAAGAACGAAATAAATTTAAAAATATCGGCAAAAGTCGTTATTATACATACAACAAGAGAAGCCAAATGTGAATTGCAAGTTGCGGAAGAGAGTTTTTGGAAATGTTATGCAGGAAAAAGACATAAAATTTCGTGCTGTGTATTTTGATCGTCATACATTACGCGTTATTGCAATAACAAGTCTTTCTCGAAGCAATTCGGCGGAACAGATGACTTTATTAAAGTAAATCTTACTGTGTTATTTGTGATAATGTAGAAAATATATCTAATATTGTAATATATAATTGGTCTTATTATCGACAGCATCATATTTAATTTTGCTCAGTTGCTTAAATTTTTGTTGTCTTGTCACATAAACACCTCCGACCTATGTGGAAGTCATATATAGCTTAGGAAGTTTTTTTTTTTAGTTGAAGAATCATTTGCATGTAGTCTCGTGCCAAGGAGACCAATGACATAATACGCCTTGAGTTAATTATTAGTGTCTGCACCCAATTAATGAGAATCTGTCAATCTCGTATCATGCAAGTCTTTTATATTTACTTTGCTTGCAATTAGTACTAAGCCGGTAAATAATATCGATTTCATAGACTTTATTTAATTTTGCTTTTGATCCCACGTTTATTCTCCATTTACTCGATTATGTACATGTGTTTATTCATTAGTAACTTAATCTTTTGACATCTCAGGTGATCATTCGAACGCAGAATTATACTATACATGAGCGAATAGACTTACCTAACATTCCAGCAACTACTATTGTATTATGGCATTGATACTAAATTAACGCATTTCAATCGATCATCTCTGATTGATATATCATATGACCGCTACGGCGTGCATTAATCATGCATTCAGGAAGTGACAAAATTACCGGTATGCCTGATAACCGATAAATGAAACGTTTACGGTCGATTTGTTAAAATCTCGGCTTGACCTATTAGCTTTAATATTAACGTTAGTGGAGGTTACGGAATTTATTGAATGCTTAAAGTTGTTATTGTGCTAGTTTCAGGACCAATTTTAGTGCTGCATGGGAGAATTGATTTTTATATAGCCTGCTCACAATACATCTCAATGTAGTTAAGCATTCAGAAGATAAACTCAAAATAGTTTAGCTGGTACATGGTTAGAAACAGATATGAGATGATTACTGAAGTAAAGCTTGAGCTTTATATCGTTCAAAAAGTTTTTTTTTGTTAAAGAATTTCCCGTACGCCATGAGCAAACGAGAAATTCCAATAGATGAAATTATGAATTCCTAAATTTTTAGTCACTTTGTCAAAGCGTTTGGTTGGATTAAAGACCATACCTGTTGATTTGTCGTGATACACAGTTTAAGAAAACCCTTCCCTTCTGTGTCAAAATCTAAACACTTATTTGCTTTTCAATACAACTATTTTATACATGTATGCCTATCGATGGTTCGCTCGACTTTATCGATAAACGAGACTAGTAAGTAGCTCTCAGACACTTGCTGCTAGCACCAGATCTGCTGAGCATGCATATTATCTGTGCTCTTTGACAGCATATTTGATGCACACTTTTTAATTACAATCGATTGAATGAGAAGATCGTCCATACTAATATCAAGAACGATCACATTATGGAAATTCTGATAGGATAGGTTTGGACATAAAATACTTGATGGCTTTCGTAATCGCATTAGGAAAATGTTTGAATGGCTTACAATATTATTTATGAAAAACTCGAATATAAGGTAACATGCAAAATTGCCTATTTTATCAAAACAAAACTGGCTGCATGCAGGTTAACGTTTGGACACAAATGACTATTGCCGTTTTTGGTGAAATGTATTGGCACAAAGCAGCTCTGTTGCGTAATTGCTTGAATGCGTGTGACAAGCGACTTATTTCTATTTTCACAACTCTCATACTGGATCGTTAGTCTCTTGAAATGACCAATCAGTCTTTTATTTACACGGTCTGATATGTATCATACTTTTCTCTTTTTTCCCCTCTAAAAGGAAAAAAAGGCTGAAATAAGAGTGCATAAAAGAGGCCGATCAGGTGATTATCAAATCGTCCTTCAGAGTTTAAATGGAAAACATTGAAACTGAATTTTAACCCCTGTGGCGTTATTATTATGCAGGTCTACTGCGGACATATCACATAATATGACTGGATGTTTCCAGTATCAATAGAATGTCCTGACCACGTTATATGCGCGTGTACATCATAAATCAGCGGAATTTGAATGCAGTAGATGGAGCATTTTGATTGGCCGGTCATTAAAAATGCAGATAGGAGGTAAACAATGATAGACCTGAATACGAAGATTATTGCAGATCATAAATAGTCTAGCAATATATTTTATATTCTATATATATCAATACAAATTCTTATCTTCTGATTTTGTCTCATCCAATGTGTTCTCATTTCCTTTTTGAGCCTATCTTCTCTTGGTCAGTGATTCAGATTCAGCGCCAAATCACAAAAAATCGATAACCCAATCCATCAGAGGGGGTTATGCTTATCAATCGGATTATTATTATTTTTAACATGTAACGATTATTAAATGTTTGTGGTGAATCTACATCTATTTATTTATACTGCTCATTCATTCCGCGTCTGTATTTATAAGTAACACTAGTCTCATAACACGTCTCTTTTACTCCTTTGCTCGACATACGCCATGGACGGCAGACAGCGAGACGAAGAGACTGCCCCTCCACACACAGTATCAAGTCCTTCCTCTTCACGGGGCAAATCACCCGGACGTTCTATGTATCATGCATTACAACTCACCTCCATTACCAGTCCTAATCTTGGCTTTGGTCCACGGTCATATTTCAGCTCACAAAGCTTATTAGATAATGGTAAGTGATAAGAATGTGCCAGGAGTATAAGAAGGCCTGAAGCAAGAGCGTTGGGCCTTTAAATCAGAAAAAACATGTATACATGATATATGCACTACATAGAATGTAGTGGATAATTTCTGGTTAGGCATCGACAATTCTCATTCATGCGAATACCATTGAGCACTATGCTGTTCAAAGGACTGCAAAAGATCAAGATTTCTCACGTTAATTCCCTTTACAATATAATGATAATCGCATGCCGGGATCCCTGCGCCACATCAAAGAACGTAAACGGGTTAAATAGAGACAAATATAGTAATATTAGTATGATATCAAGAATTGATTCATCGATACACTTTTGGTTTTTATCTCATAGGTCAACCTTCCTATTCGGCTTCTCCGCTCAAAATACGCTCACAAACAGTCGCTCTTGGCAGTCTAGATATTGTCGAAGAAAACCAAAATGAGGATGAAGCACCTCGTACTCAAACGGATTCGAATGCACCAAGAGAAAGTGGACTATCACTTTTACTAAAAGCAAACACTCCGCCAGAAGCTGATAGTAAAAGTAACGTGCCCGCAGAGGAAGATAACGCCAAAGATAATAGTGGGAAGGATAATAATATTATTGTTTTGGATGAGAACGGTAATAAAGTGGAAGAGCTACAAGGATCACAACAGCCATCATCAGATCAACCTGTTCCATCGTCCCATCCTCCTCCATCTACAACTTCGCCCGACCACCCATCCTACTATACTCTTCAGAAAACTGACGAGACTGTTCCCCTACTTGCTCAACCATTTCCCACTTACGCAAATAATCATTTAGACGACGATGATTCGGTAATAGATGATTATTATGAACAGTCATGGATTACGCGTTGGTTTTGTGGATGGAGTCACGATGGCTATCTCCCGCACTATGATGACGATGAAACGGAACACAGAAGGGAAATTACGCCCGAAGTGATATTTAGGGAAGCTGTCATAAAACCTCTTGGATATATACCAGCCGTTATTTTGGGTCTATTGTTAAATTTGTTGGATGCTATATCTTATGGTATGGCTGATTTGTAATCAGAGTTAGACAAGTTCTCTGGTAAACGAAACTTCAAGAAACTGATTACTTTTATATGCATCATTTTCATAACTATCTCTCAATTCTGAAAGGTATGATCACGTTTCCTATTGCAAATCCCATCTTCAGTTCGTTTGGACCAGATGGTATCTCTATGTTCTTTGTAAGGTAACTTGTGCAATTTGGGACAAGCAACAGAATTGGATACCACCGGAAATCAATTTGCTCATTAATAACCCACGCTGTTCGTTCTTTACTAATGTCCTAAACAGTTGTATCGTCTCACAATTAGTCTTCTCTTTGGGTGGAAGTATTTTTGGAGGGGGTAATGGGAGTATGATGATAGAAGGTATGTTTGATTTATTCAAATCGTCTATTATCCAATGCAAAACAAACGGAACTTTGCGTAAATTGCACGTAGGGTAATCATTATTTAAGTCTGTTGCTGATGCGCTGTACTATATGTTTTACATTCTTATTTCTTTTTAGTTGTTCCGTTCTTGCATATAATGTGAGTTGAATTTTGCTCCAATGTAAATTACTAGTATCTTCCTTCATCTGTTAGTGTATTTACTTATTCTTTCGTCGTTTATCAGGGCCGAGATTATCCAAGAGGAAGTCGGCGTAGATAACCCTAAATCGATTATAGCCACAACTATCTTGTCATATGCACTCAGTTCAGTGCTCACTGGTATTGTGTTCTTGTTGATGGGTGTGTTTAAGGTAAATAGGTTGTATAGCAGTAACGCATCTTTGTCCTCATATGACTAACAATCCATTAACATAACCGATAGCTGGGATCGCTGATAGAATTCTTCCCGAGACACATATTAGTGGGCTGTATCGGTAAGACGCAAATTTTATATAATAATTTGGTCATTATAATCGACGCTCTAATATTTACGAATCCTCGATACTTTAAATCCAGGCGGTGTCGGTTGGTTCTTAGTACAAACAGCAATAGAAGTCTCTGCCCGTCTCGAAGGCAATCTTGAATACAACCTCGGTTCTATCCTTGCGCTCTTCGTGAATGGTCACACGTTTATTCTCTGGTTTTCGGCTCTCTTTCTTGCATTGTTACTTCGTGTTATATATGCAAGGTGTCAGCATCCTTTAGTAGTCCCATTCTATTTCATGATTGTGCCGCTAGTATTCTATGCTTTTGTGTATTTGTTCCATTTATCGTGGGATTCATTGAGAGAAGGAGGCTGGGTCTTTCCGCTGCCTGCGGAGAAGGCACCATGGTATAGATTTTACCAATATTATGGTAAGCGGTCTGTAAAAGCTAATTGCAATATGGAAAGCGTTATCAATTATGACGTTGTTGTTATGTAGATCTTAAGGCGACTAATTGGAGAGCCCTCATGAAGACCATCCCTGCTATGTTTGCTCTGACATTTTTCGGTACGTAGGTTCAATTTTAGTATAAGCAGCAATAATACAACATTGTATTACGTAGATATTAAACTATATTGTTTAACCATAGGAATCTTACACGTCCCCATCAACGTGCCTGCTTTGGGAGTGTCCATTAATGAAGATAATGTCAATACCAACCGTGAATTAGTAGCTCACGGACTTTCCAATATGTTCTCCGGATTTGCTGGTAGCGTTCAGAGTAAGTGGACCTGTCATAGTCAGCATTGTTAGAACATGATTTTTACCAATATAATTGGCTCAACGCTATTACTGTATCCGACTCTTCTACAATTAGATTATCTCGTATACACAAACTCCGTTCTATTTATAAAGTCAGGAGGTAATAGTCGCGTCGCCGGAGTTATGCTTGCGATTGCCACGGCAATTATACTTGTCATTGGCCCTTGGATAGTAGGCTATATTCCAGTAATGGTGGTTGGTGCACTTATCTTCCATCTCGGTTTAGACTTAATGAAAGAGGCACTCATTGATACTTGGGGAATAGTGGATCGATTGGAATATGTCACGATAGCTGCCATTGTAATAGCAATGGCAGCCCTCGGTTTCGTTGAAGGGATATTCTTGGGTATTATTATGGCTTGTGTTTTCTTCGTATTGACCAATTCTAGAAAGAGTGCTATTAGAGCAACGTATTCGGGAAGTTCAGTCAAATCGACTGTGAGGAGGCACTACAGGCAACAGAAATATCTTCAAAGAGTCGGAAACCAAATATATGCCATCAAATTACAAGGGTACCTTTTTTTTGGTACAATTAACGGAGTAGAAGATGCAATCCGTAGTGTATTAGCTTACCGTAAATGGCGTCGCAACCCTATTCGATATTTAATTGTTGACTTTCAACTTGTTAGCGGGTTGGATTTCAGCTCAGCAGAGGCGTTTATCAGAATACAGAGACTGCTCCAAGCAAAACATGTCTACTTGGTATTGTGTGGAGCAGCGTACATGTCAGATGTGGGGAAAGCATTAAGGGCAGTTGGAATGTGGGATGATGGAAATAGAGAGTTTTTGCACACATTTGAGACGTTTTACGAGGCATTGGAATGGTGTGAGAATGAGTTGTTGAGGGCATATTACGTGAAGCCAGCAACACATGTAGCAAAACCCAATGAACATGGTGAGTGTCTGAACAGTTGGCGGATAATTAAAAGTGTATTCAGATTGATAAGCTAGCATTCTATTACATCACAAGAAGTAGGGCTTACGCTGCCACCGCACACTCAACCAAAAGCCATTAGTGAATTTCACTCTCCCCGGCAAAAATTGGTTGAAGCTGCCGGACAAATCACCCTACAAGGTAAATATCAAGTTACAACTGTTATATTAAAAGAGAACTACATTCGCTCGACCTAACAGATGCAAATTTCTGTCAAAAGATGACAACCTGAATCAGCAACGAAGCACGCAACCGGTTGATCTCCTTCGCAATGCGTTCCAAGAGCTGACCAATGTCGGCGACGACTTTTACACACGCCTAGCCAAGTACTTTCATAGAGTCAATGTCCCCGCCGGTGCCATACTTTGGAGACAGGGTGATGCTCCAGATTGCATGTACCTCGTTGAGCGTGGCTCACTTCGGGCTACATTCCGAGTAGAGGAGGGTAACCCAGCTCGTCAAGTAGAGAGTATTTTGGCTGGTACTATGGCTGGTGAGCTAGGATTCTTTGCTAATCGTCCACGTGATGCTACATTGGTTGCAGAGATGGATTGTGTGTTATGGCGGATGGCTGACACGGATTATGACGCGTTGATCACAAAGGATCCAAAAGTGGCTAATTTGTTTATTAGAGTATCATTGAATTTCTCGGCTGAGAGGCTTGCTACTATGTTGCAATATGCATTCCATCTGGCATAGTATAATTTATCATAAACTATTGTGAAGATACATTTTATCATTGAAATATCTATTACTATACATTTAACACTACACTCTAAGATAGAGTCAAAAAAAGGCCAAGGCCGTTACATTCATTGGTTACTATTACATTATTTAACAAAAAAAAAAGGACTTTTGATCGATTTTATGTAACGGTCTCAATAAATCTCGTATTTATTGGTTAGAGATGCCTGACTAGAATAATAAATTGTGTATTTTGTTTCACAGTTTAAGTATCCCCACTCACCAGTTATCCTTAAAGGGTAATCGCCAAGTTTGGAATCATAGCTGGACAATTGTGCACTGTGTATGATTTTCAATTCACGCACTATTCCGAAATGATCGTGTGACGAAAAATAAAGCAGGTCTCTTTGAATTGTTTACACGTGTGGAACGTCAAATAAAAAGTTTTCGACTGATTATTATTTTCTCTTTTGTTTTTCTGCACACTTTGATTTGGAATGGCTAGACTACTTCAATCCAGTGTTCGATTTGAATGGCTAGCATGTTTCAACCTAGCGCTAAGTGTACTTATTCTTCCTTTAGCCAGACCTGAGTCATAAACACAATCGGATTGTACAAGATTCGGGGGGTGTGAATAGATTTTGCCGTTAAATACGTTATCATTTATACGGTGCTGTATGATCACAAATATATTAATTTATAGTAGTTCCGATTCAACAGTACTGCAGTAAGTATAGATTATCACAAATATTTGATCTGCATGGTGAACACAACTCGCCAAATGGCGCAATATTTCCCGTGCGTAGGTTACAACTTTTAACTGGAAAAAGATCTAATCTGATCAATTCACCATCATCATCATATAATCCATCGTCATCAATGTGAAAAAAAAAAATAATTATAGGTGCTTATTAATGGCATATTCAAGGGACATCTTGTACATTATTATTAATTATTTGTATATGATAATAACGTTTTTTAAAGCGACAGATACATAGTACAAATGCATAGAGTTATGTAATTCGTCACTCCATCTTATTATTTGATACCTATAATCTTGTAATCATATTACATGTATAAAAGTAATAAAAATTTTCATTCCGCAAAAAAAATCTGTGACTGTCCTAATCACAGCCTATGGAGCATAATTAAAACAAACGTAACTGCAGTGGATCGATGGAGCCGTTGATGCAATTAATTACCGTTTATATTCGTTTCGGGTTAGGGATATAAGTGGGTAGAGATATATATCTTATACAGTGTGACACGAAATTATTGATACAATAAATAGGGGGAAAAAAAAGGCTATTTACAGCCAACGACTTCACCAATTAACATCATTATAATTAACATATCGTTTTGTAGCTTACATAAGGATATTTATTACACAAGTTTTAATGTTCCTTGTTTTCTTTATATAGGCGTCCACCTTGAATTGATAACGTAGTTTTTGGAAACATATTTCACTTCTTCACCATGAACTCAGTCAATTTGTCACAGTTTTGGCGAATATCTTTCTACATTTCGTTGACAATACTCCAAAGTTTTTTAATGGGATTAATATCACGCAATACATTCGTCCTGGATGCATATGCTGTAACGGTTGATAGTCGGCCAGCACTTTGTGTTTTTTAGTCCCAGTTTTCCCCAACTTTCAAAAACCTAATAGATAATTGGAATGGAAATTTTTGCTGAAAATGTGTATTTTTTTTTGTTTACATGACGCTTTTTGAGCCAAATTTGTCGTTTGAATTGAGTTCAATAATTTTGTGTCACATTGTAACCGGTACGTGTATTCCCAATCAAATAATATATCAACAATCAGCACCTTTCAGACTTTCATAGATTATGAATTATTTGGCTGAAGGATTAATTAGACGCTTGGTTTAGCGGTACAACTTTGGCTGTGGATCAATATTTATATTAATATGAAACTAACTCTACATTAAATCCATCATGAAACCAAAAAATTATAGATAGTGGTAGTATCGGAAGTATTTTGATGGGAAAACAGGTAGTCGATGAAAGGAAATTTAAAGACGTTATAGTTAGAAGCAATCCAAACCCGCCTCATAAGGTAAACAGGAATAATCTTGCAAAGTTAAAGATACTGGATGAAAATTATCGTGTACTTTATTATATACACAATGTTTAGTACGAAATTTTATCCTCACCTTTTCCCAAAACAAGCCCACACTTCCTTTTCATTAGTGGCATAAAATTTTTCTGGAATCGCATTACATTCTTTGGTTATAAACTGTTTTAATTCATTATTCCTAAATATGCCTGCCACATGTTTCGATAGGGTTCAGTCAATAGTCCGAATTTTATTTTCTGTAATAAAATCCTTAGCAACACGTAAAGTGTTTAAAATAATGAAGTCTGTTGGACAGATTTTGTCAAAGCTTTTTCGTAAAATAGCGCGTTTTTTATAGCAACCCTTTTTTTGAGTCTGCGCATCAGTTATCATTGGTCGCAGGGGAGATCTCCTAGTAATACGTCATTGATTAAGCCGTACCGTTAGACATGGACACCGCTGAGTGGAAACAAAGGCTAACGCGAAGTTGGATAGATAAGATGCACTGAGGGGTGGTGCAGTGGAACGCGACCAAGGAGAGAGAGACACGCTGGAGCGACAGGAAGATTACTGGTTAGAACGAAAAAAGACATGTTTGGATGCCTTGCGGCCCCAGCCAGGTAACAAAATTTGGGCGTTGGACATAGAGTAATGTGTACTTAGGGTAGAGTAGACAGTTTCTTTATATTAAGAGTTTTGTTGGGAAAATGTCGCCATTTAACACATTCCAAACAATCAACTTTTGTCTTGTTCTCCTTTTGTAAGTACAGTACATGCTTTAAAGGATAATATTTGTGATGTATTGAATAACGTGCTGAAGAGCTGCGTATATTCGAGAGCTCCTGTTTCCGCACCCGGCGTACCTGATTTCAAAATGAAACGCTGATAATAGTGGTTGAAGTCAAACGGAACCCGTGTATTAGGAAATATGGGTAATCAAACGTTGTCAGAATTTTATAAAAAAGATAAAAAAGCCAAGACAATAGTCCAACAGATTTATAATTATATGGCGAGGAACGAGTTGCAATTCGGCATTCTTACGACTTATGAAGATCATTGGTTTATGTGGCGGCCCACCTCTACGAAAGTTTTCATTTCGCATACTCTTCAATTAAAGTCGGCATTTCCGCTGGTGCTGAAGGCATGGGCATATCTAGGGCAACGTGCTGAAAAGGACTATTATTCACCCAACACACTCCTTATTAATGTGAAGAGTGAATTGCAATCTGGGAATTCAAGCCAGGGCACTACGCACTGTTAGTCTCAGTCAGGGACAGAACTCGTTCGAAAAGCACAAGTTCAGAAACATCCCGTAATTTTGGAGAAAAAGGAAAAAGGCGGCTGCAAGATATGCAAATGTTTAACTATAAGGACTTTAAATTTGTGTCTATACTTGGAATTGGAAGGAGCGGAAAGACGTTAATGTGCATGTTTTATGGGCAGAGGATTGCCTTGAAGACTATTGATTTGTCAAAAACACCAGAATTCCTTCCTGAAATGCACAATGAAGTTTCTGTTTATCAATTCCTTAGACCTATTCCAGGCAAATACATACTAATACTAATACCAAATTTAGTATGTTATGGAACACTGGTAATATGTTCTTTGTCATTGGGATGACAATCATTGGCACTCCATTAATATTAAGTGATCATAAACAAATAACACAAATGCAGAGGATTAATGCTATTTGTGCATTAAAAGCAATCCACAAATGGGGCAGACTGCAACAAAACCAGACAAAGTGAACATTCTATTATGTGGCATAAATGAGGGGCTGATTATGATGTGGCTGTAAAATTGACCAGTATGACTGATGACGTTTTGAAAAGTAATAATGTGCTCATGGACTGGTTAATTTTAATGCTCACTTTATTATACCAGAATGTGACGAATATAAACCATAGCATGACCAGTGCTATATGGTATTTAATTATCTGATATAATAATAACACAGCTGTGTTGAAGTTAGCTAAATATCTGTGTCCAAAGACTTTTGTAACACACTGTACAATATCACTGTCTAATGAAAAAACAGATACTTAATTGATATAAAAAACTTTAATACATAATCTTATTACTGTTTCCCCATATACTTGTTTGTATCAATTTTCTGAATATTTCTGAGAAATATGCTCCTATTTGCAACTAATAATCTGATGTAACTTTTTACCGTAAATGCTTTATACAGTATTTGTCTGTCGAATTTTTAATATGCTTACATAAACTGTCAAGTTTATTACAAAATAAATCTGGTTTCTCCCATGACTTATTCTTTGGTATGTCACATATAACATATAAAACTTTGATCAAACAAAGTTTTCCTGCCGTGCTCTAAAACGTTTTTCGAGAGTTTTTACAATGGAAAAAAGATAAACACTCATTGTTGAATGTAATTTTATTCGACGAATAAACATTGTTTTGTAAAATCTTCCTCCTACAATCGTACAACATTCCTTAAATTCTATTTTTAATTTAGTTCAAAATCACCTGAGGTTTCAAAATTTTTGTGACAGCACAACTAGCTAAATTCGGAAGAGGTTTAATATTACATAAGCAACCCGTCGAAAACTCATGTGTTGTTTGAATGTTCATTGAAATAAATACCCGATCAGTACCATTTATTAATTATTTTCTATCATTCGCGATACTAATTGAATCGACATACTTGAAATTCCAACCGGATTACCGTTGACGAAAGTTGTCTATTCTCGCCGATATTTTCGTTAATTCGAATTAGCGTTTCAAGAACGAATATTTGTTGTTTAAATTAATATATAAGTGACGTTTTCTGACTAGTCAAGACCCTAAATCGAAGACCGCCCTATTTAAAATTAGTATCAAATTTCCCCTTCGATTCCGTAATAGTATAAGCATTGTTGTTATATTATTTCGGTTACCCTTACTTTAGCAACTGCGTCAATTAAGCTGAACTAAACTGAATAAGTGACTAATATTTAATATATGTGCGCGCTTCTTTTCACTCCCTATATGACGTAAAATTTTCTACTCGTATCTAAATAAGGGTAGTGATAAGAGCTAAATTGCAAAACCCCCTCTCAGCAGATGTCATGGATAAGCTCTAACGTCTACGTATTCCTCCGAGATTTCCGATTCGGAGAGTAGCGAAAACCGCTATCCGGACTCTCTGTTGCGACTTAGTCTTGCCCCTAGGTTCGCATACTATCGGTTGACAGGATATTTATTTAATTGTCAATAAATGCGTTAGTTTAGAAAACCTTTCCCAAACGATAGATTTCCGAACTTAATCCCATTGGATCATAATCGTCGATTATTACTCGAGGTTAAATAAATATCTACGGATTAGCGTATACGATACGAATTATTCAAAGCCTGTTAAAAGGTCACTAACTGTTTAGAAGAATTAGCATTAGTAGGCGTTGCCGATACGACCGTTGGAAGACGCTAAATCTCAAGGAGGTTACACGATCGCTCTCCCACGTGTAACGTCACGACAATATTAATGTTGGGCACAGAATATAAATAGAGCATATCCCTGCCTCACCTTGCACTTGCTTCAACTATAATGGATAGTGACATGATAATAATAAATGAGTCAAACAAAATATCCCGTCTGTGTATTATTATATGATGATTCAGCCTCAATAATAATAATAATAATAATAATAAATGCTTACAAGCATGTTGATGTCCAGATGGCCTGCAATAATAATAAATGGTTCCAAGACAACAAACATCTTCGTTGATTGATCTTTGTGTGCTCAATGACTTTTCACAACAAAGCCAAGTTGGAGGAAAATAAAGAGCTTGACATTGAAGAGTTTTTTGTTTACTCATGGACACTTGTCAGCCATTCAGCATCACAACTTCAACAGCATCAAGCATAATTTATAATTTGGATTTAGTCTTTACCTCACAAGCTGAACTTTCTCCCACAATTCAGAGTGATTGCACCAAACACACCAAATTTTGGTTTTTTTTTTGATACATCTGCGGAAGAGTCCCTTTTTGACAATTCCCAGATGCACTATAGCTATGAGGACTAACAGTAATGGTAAGAAGTAATTAGCGGACAATAAACTAACATTCCTTGAACTATTATGCAAAATTTTTCCTTTTAGCAAAAAGCCAACTCCCTTCGGTCTCAAAAAAAGTCCCGTTTCGGTGAGTTGCTGTCATCTGTGCCTCCTACATTGATCCAAATCCCACATCAATATTCTGCTGACAAATTGAAGAAGCTCGCGAAAAAGCATTAATTATTTAGCTTCATAATTCTGGTCGGCCTTTATCTTGTCCAAAATTAATAATCTATGGTTTCGATGTCATTATTATTATCTAATTAGATATTAAATAAATTCATACGATTAATAGAACTATGGCAGACCTCAAGGAAGGTTTATTCTAACATTCACAAGAGCTTTGGTATCTATTGTGTTCGCATATAATCATTACGTTCACATATTAATATAGTCATTATGTGCACATGTGTTATTATTATGACGTTCACTTATTATTATAGTGAGATGCCTTCGATACGATAAAGTTGGCCTAATATGATGCTTTTTCCCGGAATCAAGTCAGTTATAATATAACAAGATCTCTCTTTGTTATGATCTTTAATGTATCAAAACGCTCACATGCGACACAAGATTTCAACTGGCCGAAGATGTCATACGGATGGTCACGTTAATGTAACCGCTTCCGGTGATTTTTATCTTGGGGTAGTAGTTCACAAAGACGCGTTCCACGAAGTCTCGACTAGAAGGCTTTGCGAATTGGACCAAGAGCGTTTCCCTTCTGGAAGTATTGGTATTCTTTGAAATACTAAACAGGCAGGCATATCCTACTAGCGTTAGGCCATACCGTCCTGCGTATAGATGTTTGGCGCTGGTTTCCAGGATCGTCCTTGAGCATATGTCTTGAGGCCTTGACTCTTGCCGGCCAGTTTCCAGAATGTGTCGTACCCTACTGAACATATGGCCATACCGTCCATTGTCAGATGTTTGGAAGCTGCTTCCTGGGCTGTCCCTGAGCCAACGTGCTAGGACCCTAGTCCTAGCCGGCTGTCTTCCAGTGAACCCTGCCTGTTTATGCTGTTTATTTACATGATTTTTTTGTCGGTACCAGTACAAACTAAAACTAATTGCATTTATTATTATTTGGTGATGGAGCCAGGCGGGTGAGGGATGGTGGGTGGGTAAAAATAAAGGTAAGCGAAATGTCTGTTATATTTATTGTGATTTATACGTGTTGTATAAGCTCTCAGCAGGCAAGCCGATGATGCACCTTGGCAGTGTACAAGTATAACTTAAGTTCTGATACATCTCATCGTGCTATTGATATGCTCTCTAACATACAATCGAGTTTCACGTCAAGGATTTCGGTTTAAATTACCAATTAGTTCTTTTATTTCCTCTTCGGTTAAAATATTGTTTTGGTTTGTCATGATTTTATTTCTATATTATTACATCCTCAATCACAGGCAATTGTTGAACACGTAAATGCAATTTTCTCGCCGAGTGGATGTCTTCCCGAAATACTTTACGCTGTGAATTTATCAGTATTTTAATATTAAAAGATTAAATATAAAAAATTTAATAGAACAAACAAAAACTAATAAAGTAATAAAATCTGCGGTTGACTGAAATATTTTTATTCATTATCAGTATATAATTTCTGACATTGATTCTATTATTAGTATTAGGCAGACAGAAATGTCAGTCCAGGACAGGGACTTTCTTTACAGAATTCTCTAGTATTTGAAAATCTCGCTGCGCGCTCTGGTTGACATTGTGACAACCTTGTCACAACTTAGTTACGAGAGCAACGACCAGGTTGCTACGAGATTGTGATGATCTTGTCGCGCGATTGGCAAATTCGGTTACAATCCCGTTACGATAATCGCAACTAGGTTGCTGCGAGATATCAATGATCTCATTCCGCGATTCGTCAATTTCATTACAAGTTAGTTACGAGAGTCATAACTAGGTTTCTACGAGATTACAATGATCTCGTCACGCGATTGGCCAATCCAGTTACAATCTTGTTGCAATATTCACAACTAAGTTTCTACGAGATAGCAGTGATCTCGTCATGTGATTGTCAACATGTCAGTGAATTCAGGTTTCTTGTAAAGTAAAAGGGCCAGAATCTAGAAGCGACACATTATTATTACCCAACAATAAACATTTTTTTATTGTTTAATTACAACAATCATTACACACGCACTCAACGTGCATACAAATTTATCATCAATATAGCCCGCAACACATAGAACGAGCCCGCAACACATCAAACGAACATAAATACAGCCCGCCCGCCCGCAACACACAGAACCACGATTATACCAGTTTCAAGAACTGCCTATCAGGTGCTGCACGCACTTTTATCGTCACTATACCATCTTCTAGAGTGACATTACCGATCCCTGTTACGTCTACCCTAAAGAGAGATACATCAGTACCATTCTATAAACACGTCCCCTATTCTCCTGTTTCTAATACTTACTTTACCGGTAATTCTACATAAAATTCAAACGGACCCGTCGGAAGCGTATTAATTAATAAATTTTTATTTTTCGGATGAGGAGGCATACTGCCAGTTATTGTCATAATTCTGCTGTTGTCGCCCACCGCCACTTTCAATTGGTCTTTTTTCAGACCTGGTACATGGGCAATTATGACAAACCATCTGCAATGGCAAAGAGTTTGGTTAATAACGTCTTATACAATTTCATTGTATTTGATTGGAATAATAGTAATGATTATAATACGGACTCTTCCTCTTTATAGAGGGCATGGGGGGGGGGGGGACCTGGAGCAGAGATTTGGCCTTCGGGTGTTCTACGGAGGAAGCTGCGCCAGTTGTACGAGTCGTAATTTATTGTCCA